AATCCCCTCCGCGTCATAGGCCTGGGGGCTGCACCTAGGCCCGCCCGGCGGCACCAAGCAGAGGACAGCCCCAGATACTGGAGGGAACTAACTGACTCTGGACTGGGATCCCAATCCAGGAAAACAAATAAGTGGCATCATAGAAAGCGTCCTAGGAGACATGAGATCTAGGTTCCAGTCTGGACTCTGGCCTCTCTCTGGGCCTCAGTTGTCCTCATCTTTCAAATGAGGGGTTTGAACCATATTATCTTCAAGCTGCCTCCCAGTTCCGTCGTTCTACACACTCTGCCTACCTCGGCAGTTAACTTCAGCAAGTCACTTCCCTTCTCTGCGTCTCAGTTTTTGCCTCTTTAAAATGAGTCGATTGTAGTAGATGCTCGATGAAGTCCCCTCAGTCCGAAAGTACACAGACCCAGCACTCTGGATTCTCTGTATATGACTGACCCGCATTCCAAGACTCTGGACTGCTCTTTTAACATACAAGAATGAGTCAGAAGTGAGGCTGTGAATTCTGTGATTTTTTAAAGATAGGTGTAATAACTGTTGACATTTATATGCCTTTTTTAAAAGCTTTTAAAGCTTTGCATTATCTCATTTGCTATTTACAACAGTCCTGTGAAATATGCATTGAAGCTATTTTTAAAATTTGTGGATCATCTAAAAATTACATAATGCCTAGCACCCTTTGAACCCTTTTTGCCACTTTGCCAAAGTCACTTTTAAAGTGGATAGGAGCCACATAGGACTGTGGCCTTTAGGATCTTTTAATCAGTCAATATATTTAAAGTCAGAAGATCTGAATTCATATACTGACTGTAACCTCCTACCTTTGTGACCTTGAGCAAATCTCTTCTTTCTGGGCCCCACTTTCTTCACCTTCAGAATGAAAGGCTCAGACTTCAAGCTTTAAATGTTGTGATTACTAATGAGAAATGAGTCTGTATAGTAGGCTCTGACCTTCTCAGGGGAAAAAAATGGTTGTGACAGGGTATAGGTCCTGGAAACCCTCCCTGCCCCCCCCAACTTGCCCTGAACTCTCCCATGTGACCCTGGCTTTTGCCTGAGGCTCTTCTCAATATAATCCTTTCAATTGTCTTTGCATTATGGCTTTGACCCTGCCCCAATCTCCGTTACTTCTAACCCAGCCCCGCCCTCATTATCTGAACCTGGACCCCTTGCGCCTAGGTCCTTGGCATTCACCTGGGGCACCCCAGGCCTTTTGGGTCCTTCTCTGTTACCTCCCAGTAACCCCACACTGCTTGGCCACTTCTTGATCACATCCAGATCTTCCCACTGTCTTTCTGTTAAATTGCTCAGATTCCTTAAGAGTCTAGCCCAGTTGTACTGGCATCACAAAGGCTCAGATTCCTTAAGAGTCTGGCCTGCTTGTCAATACAAGCATCACCAAATAGCTCCGATTCTTAAAATCTCGCCCACCTCAATCCATGTTTTAATAAACTTTCTCTCTGACTGAAAGAATTAAAACCCAAGGGAAAAGCCACGAGAAAGAAGAAGCCAAAAAAGAGAGAGAGAGAGAAAATAACATGCTTTGATCTGCATTCAGATTCCATAGCTCTTTCTCTGGACGCGGATAGCATTTTCCATCATAAGTTTTGGAATTGTCTTAGATCCTTGTATTGATAAGAGAGTTAAGTCTATCAAAGCTGGTCATCCTACAATGCTACTGTTACTGTGTACAATGTTCTGGTTCTGCTCACTTCACTCAACATCAGGTCATGTAAGTCTTTTCAGGTTTTTCTAAAGTCCACCTGTTCATTGGGACCATACTTCTTAACTCCAGCCATTTTCCATCATGCTGACATGACTATATATCTTTCTCACCCTCATTTCCTTCCTCATCTTGTTCTGGAAGCTGTATTTAAATCAAGACTACCATTACTTCATGAAAGGATATGTTAGTAAGACTTCCCTATGGCATTGCTCACCACCCCTATGACTTACCTAGACCAAAACATGCTCCCCTGACCACCACTCTCCCATTAGAACATTAAAATCCTTGAAAGCAGGAACTAACTCACTTTAGTATTTGTATTTTCAGTGCTTAGCATGGTGCCTGGCACATAGTAAATGCTTAATAAATGGAGGTTTTTTCTTCAGTCAGGCAATCATCCAATAGAAACCTGGACACCTCCAATGGGTTGGAACTCATTCCACTTTTGGACAGTTGTAATTATTAGCAAAAGGTTTTACTTGCATAAAGCTGACATACAAAGCCTTTCTATATTTATCCCCTCCAATATTCTCCACCATTAGAGGGAAAGGCCTAGAAAGTCCTACACCCAATTGTAAAGGCTTTGAGTACAGCCTGGTGACAAAGTGTTTGTCTGCTATTAGGGGACTAACCTAGCCAGCTACAGAGAAACTCATCACCAAGAAGGTTGGCCATCAGTGCATGAAATTTTAGCCACATCAACTCATGAAGACCATGTGGAAAGGGCTTTGATCTTTAGCCATGGCAGGAAAACTCATACTCAAGATACTCTCTTACTGTCTCTCTCTCTCTTTTTCTCTCTCTCTCTCTCTCTCCCTCTCTCCTAATAGTGCTTATCTTTAGCTAAGAGGAATAAGATACCAATACAGTTAACTCTAGTCCATGATAAGTGAATGAGAGACATGCAAACAAACTGCTCTGGCAGGAAAGGTCCTTACCAATAGAAGGAATAAGGAAAGGCTTCTTGGAGAAGTTCACATCTGAGTTGGGTTTTAAATATACGTCGAAATTGGATAGCTTAAGAGGGTATTCCAGGCATGGGAAACATCATAAGGAGATGCCCAAAGGCAGGGAAAGGGTGAGGTATACTTAGAGCACAGAGAAGAGTGAAGTTTGACTGTAGTAGAAAGTAGGTGGAGGGGATTATTAATAGGAGATATGGGAGAAATGTAAAATATCAGGGGCTTCAATGCCCAACCTGCTTCCCTCACTAGGTTGTTGTAGGGATCACACAAGATGTTAGCTGTGAAATAGTTGTGAAAAATATAAAGTGTAATACAAGCGTGAAGGATTACTGTTACAAGCCACCCTCCTTCATTGGTCTGGGTCAGTTACCAGTTTGGCAACTAAAGTCTGAGGTGTCTGTTTTGTCTCCAAGCAAAGTATTGTACTACTCACTTTTCTTAAGTGCCTTACAATGTGAAGGTCCCTCAGGAAGATGGATCTTTCTCTCTCTATAGCAGACATTTACTAGAAATTGGAAGGGAAATTCTCCTGGAATGGTAGGTAAGTGCCTGGGATGGGAAATGTGACAGAGTGAAATGTAAAGGTTGTTTGGTAGAGAGGTAATTTGTGCAGTGTGGCTTAGTAGAAAATGTGGTGGTCCCAGAGTCCGAAGATCTGAGTTCAATTGCCAGACATGAGACTTGAAGTAAATTAAATAATCTCTTTGAGCCTCATTTCTTCATCTGTAAAACAAGGATGATAATGCCTGTACTTCTTATTTCAGAAGGAAGTTTTGATCATTAAAAATTGTGGCAACAGTAATGAGCTCTATATGTAATCTGTTACTTTTATCATAGCATTGAATGACTGAACTTGGGCAAGTTTTCTTGAATGCCATAGGCTCCAGCTAGTTCCTCCCTTTCAAACATGATCTTGCTGGCAAAAGTCTTCATTGTATTATGAGAATAGGTTGTTGCTATTGCTTTCAAGCTTCACCTAGCTTTTTAAGTTCCCTTAAAAAAAATTGGCTTAACATGACTCTGGACAGCAGATGTACTACAAAGTACATTGGTATAAGGGAAAGAGCCCTGGATTCGGAGCCAGAAGAACTTGTTTTTATTTGGAACATTTACTAATGGTATGTCCCTAAAAGAAGACATTTCTCTTCCCTGACATTCAGTTTCCTGATCTGGAAAATAGGGATAGTAACAGAATAATAATTTTGAGGAAAGCTCTTAATCAAGAGCTTAGTAAGAGAAGTTATAGCATAGAGCTTTGTTTAAATATCTTCATTTGCAGACAGCAGGATGCTGTATAATATATGTGACTTAGTGGATTGTGATAAATTTCATGAGAGTAGTACCTGTCTTAATTAGCTTTTTGTCTTGCTCAGTATCTAGCAATCAGAATCTACCACAGAGCATTCTGCTCATTGTAGGCCCTAAATGTTTCTAGAATGAGTTGATAAAGACATGAAAAAAGCAATGCCTTAAAGTAACTGAAAGAAAAAAGAATTACTTCGGGGATAATCCTTCATATTTTTTTTTGAATGGGGAAATGTCCTCTTTAGAATACTAGGAATCTGAAGGTTAGAAAGTTACTGGCTCTTTTTTTTTTTAACTGGACAGTGCTCTTTCCATTACTTAATGATACTTCTCATGTTACTTGTTAATCTCTCTCTCTGAACCTCAGTTTCCAAACCTGTAAAATGAATGAATGGACTAAATGATGTCTAAGGTCCCTAACAACTCTAAACCTTCTTGTGGACGTTTTTGGCTACCAACCCCTAAATGTCCTGAATACTGCTTCAGTAGGGACACCCCAGGAAGGAGATGAGCACAGAGGAAGGGTCTAGAAGCTGACTACCCCAACTGTGTTTACAGCTTCCTGGAAAGACAATTTTAGTCCTGACCACCAGCAAATCATTTCACCTCTCTCTCTGTATCTCAGTTTCTTCGTCTATAAAGTGGTCATTATAATACTTCTACTACCTGCCTCTTTGTAAGGGTTTTAAGGAAAATGCTTTGTACACCTTAAAGCATTACAGGGGTCTCAGGATTCCTTTTTACTCTTAGATTTTATTGAGGACCCTCTCCCAAAAAGCTTTTGTTTGTATGGGATACGTTTGTGGTTATTTACTATATATGTTAGAAATTAAAATGTCTTAGTATGATTATGAAAATAATTTTTACCTCCAGAACCCTAAAAGGGTCTCAGGAACGCTTCATGCTTTGAGAACCATGCACTGTAGAAATGTGAGCTTTTATTGTTGTTTTTCAGCTAAATGGGGAAACAAGTTAGCTAGTCTTTCCAGGAAGAGCAAAATGAGCAGCGTTTGAACAATTTTTAGGGTAGCAATAAGGTGTACTGGAAAGAGTGTTGCTTCTGGAGTCAGAAGACCTAGCTTCAAGGCCTGGCTCTGCCATATAATAGCTCCTGTTTGACTCAGAGAAAGTCAGGTTCTTAATCTCTCAGTGCTCCAGACAATTTTCCAAGACTATAAATTACAGAACAGCAGATCTTCACAGGGGGTTTACTTGCTGAGAGTTCCATACTCCACTGAAACCATGGTTCAAGGACAAAAGACATTATAATAAGTCATATTTCAGTGCTTTCAGGGTAAAGCACACATAACCTTACAGGATCATTCTGAGGATCAAAAGAGATAAAGTAGGTAAACCACTTAGCAAACCTTAATGCGCTAAAAAAAATAAAAGCTGTTATTATTATAAGTCTTAAACCGCTCTAGAAATATAAGTTGTTATTGTTATTACAGAACCGCCAAAGCAACTACTTTACACTCAGCCACAGAAGCCAAACCTCTCCGCTTTCCCCTCCCCCGTCTATCAGTGCAGGCGGAAGGTGGAGCCCCAGGCTGTAAGCGGGGCGGATCCTGTGGCCCGGAGAGACTGAGGCCACTCGCTCGCCTGAGCAAGGCAGGTATCGTGGTAACGCGGTCATGGGCCCCACACATTCCGGAGCTTCCCCAGCCACCAGATCGAGCCGATAGCAGGCGAGAGCTCAATATACAGGAAACAATTTTTGGGGTGAGAGGGAGGGGGTGGAGTGGAGCTACGGGATTGGGGGTGGGGGTGGGGAGGCGGGAACTGGGAGGTTTGAAAAGGTGACAACAGAGGATGGACAGCTTCGATCCGAGAGAAGGATCATTGAAACTAGAATGGGAGAGCAGCATGTTAAGGGATGAGTACTTGAAAACAAGTTATCTATCCCCGTGTTAAAGCTTCTGCTGTTGCATATTTACTAATCGAGAGCACACGCGCCACCTCCTTCACTCTTTTATTCCCTTAATTCCACAAGTCCAAAGGGGTTGACCACTCACTCCCCAAGGAGTATAGCTTGGTAGCTTATTGAGAACTGCATCTTTGAGGTCCTATGCAATTAAAGTCTACAAAGATCAGGACTTTTGTTTTTGTTTTTTAATGCCACAGTGGGCATGAATGGCCGCACAAAAGTCCTCATGTCAAAACTTACAGCTTTCCTGAGCCTGGCATTATCTCAAGGCTGCTGGTAACAACAGTGAGTTGCTAAAAAGTCCCTCCATTTCACCTTTCTAGGATACCATGAAGCTACTTCAAGTCTTGGAACCTGGAGACTGCCCGCAGAAGGCAACATGGTCAGTAATAGAAGATTTGAGTACATACTTTTGCCGATAACTAGCTATAGCATATTGGACAAAGTGCTTTAGAGAATATTAAGAGTTGGAAGGGAGCTTAGAGGGCATCTAGTCTTCAGGTGAGAAAACCAAGTAAAGCAGCTTACCTAAAGTCATACAGCTAGCTAGCTAGTGACAGAGTCAGGAGTCACTGGAAGGGACCTTAGGAATCATCTATAGTAGTCCAAACTGGTCATTTTACAAATGAGAAAACTCAAGTACAGCAAGGAGAAAATACTTGTCCAAGGTCAGTGGTGTCAAACTGAAACAGAAAGAGGCCACTATATGTATATATGGATCCCTGAAGGCTGCATATTGACTTAGAAAACCACATTTTAAAATTATCTGTGTTTTATTGTATGTTTACTTATTTGTTAAATATTTCCCAATTACATTTTAATTTCATTCAGCTGCACTGGAAAGGTTTGTGGGCCACATATAGCCTATAGGCTGCTGGTTGACACCTCTGTCCTAGTTCATACAGCTAAAGTAGTCAGGGGAGTGGCATCAGTTTGAACTCAGGTCTTCTGTTTGACTCCCAGTGTTCTTTCCATCCTCCCGTTCCCTTTTATGGGCCTGTTTGCTCACCTGTCAAATCAGAGGGTTGTATTCCATAACCATTAAGGCCCCATCCAGTTCCACAGTTCTATGATTGAAATGAAATAGTTTACATTAAAAAAAAAAGATGGATAGAGACCCTGTAGAACTCTGTAGACTATATAGATCTTCCTGCAGTCATAAATTTTGTTTGGACTTATTATTTCGTCAGTATAGGAAACTCCATTTACTTATGCAGCTCTGTGACTTAGAGTTTTAGAAAATTAAGTGACTTTCCCAGAGTTACAAAGTTACTTTGTGTCAGAAAAAGGACTATGAAGCTAGCTTTCCCTGACTCTAAGCCTACTTCTCTATCTACTACTCCATGCTTCCTCTATGATAAGAGCACCCTCTGTATTTAGTTTCAAACTGACTTTTTTAAGAGGATCAGAGGCATAATTATTGCAAAGCAGACATCATTTTACTTCAGTGCATTTATTGGGTAGAATTAAATCAATGACTATCTAATGTTCTCAGTTTTAAAGCTAATGCTGGTGATTTCTTACCATGCGTTATTATTTCACCAAAAGATTTTCCAATATGAGAATATGGTTTCAGTTAAATTGGCATCACTGTTCCTCTACCCATTGCTCAGAATAGCAATGGGGTACTCTTCAGAAGCAGTGCAGTATAATAGAAAGGGCCCTGTTTTTAGAGTCAGAAACCTATAGTTGGAATCCCAGCCCCAACACTTCCTGACTGTGTGACCCTAGGCAAGTTACTGTAGTCAGTAAAAAAAGGATTTGGATGGAGGTAAAAACATGTACCTTTCTTCTACACTAATTAGCTGACTTTGGGTAAATCATTTAATCTCTCTGAACCCTAGTATTCTAATCTATAAAAGAAAAAGGTTGATGAGATAATCTCCAAGGTCCCCTCCTACTCTAAATTTCATGATTCTATGATGAGATTCCCTCTAAGTTCATTTTATGTCTCTGAGACTCAGTTATTTCCTATATAAAATTGGCAAGTAATAATGCTCCTACTACCTACCTCCTAGGATGATTGTAAGACTCAAAAGAGATAATATGTCTAATCAATTTGTGAAGAGCTATATATGTGATAGCTATGGTTATGCTTGTCCTATCCATGTTCAAAGGGCAACTCCACTTGGGACCCAACTGGCCAGTTCCAGTTGGGCAACTCAGCTCCTTCCTTCCTCCTTTCTTTCTTTCCTTCCTTCCTTCCTCCTCCCTCCCTTCCTTCCTCTTTTCCCTCCCTTTCTCCTCCTCTGAACTCCTTTTCTCCCTGCCTCCTCTCCCTCTGTCCACATAGGGAATCATACCCTTACCTGCAGGTACTCTGCCCAAAGGAATATAAATTTTGATCTCTGAAACCTTGCAAGACATCTTGGGGTTTACAGGTTAGATTTCTTTTTAGGGACCATGCTTTAAACCCAAAGCATTGATTGGCCAATAATAGGTCCCAGCCCAAGCCTCATTTGGTTATCATTTGGCCTCTGATGGTTCAGAGTGCATAAATAGCAACTGTTTCTGTTTTGGCCAGAAACCCTGAGGGTCTTCCCCTGACAGATTGATTTTTTTTTTGACTTGGTAAAAGGGGCCATTCTTTGCCTCATTTCTTACCCAGACTTAATCATCAAATGGGCATTGTCTCAGACAAACTGAGACCTTGGAAAGACCTTAACTTAAAAAGGCTAAGGCATCCCACTGCATCAGGGGCCATCCCCAGTCATCCTGATCTATATCTTGCCTCTGGACCCAGATGGCTCCAGAGGAGAGAATAAAGCAGGTGACTTTGCACAGCCCTGCCTCACTTAAATCCAATTCACTTGCAAGTCACGACATTACCTTCCACATGTCCTGGTCTTCTTTGAAAATGAAGGACAAACAACAACAAAGAGAAGCTAGGTGGTACAGCAGATAGAGTTCTGGGCCTGGAGTTAGGAAGACTCATCTGCCTGAGTTCAAATCCAGCCTCAGATGCTTACTAGCTGTGTAACCCAGGGCAATCACTTAATCCTGTTTGCCTCAGTTTCCATATCTGTAAAATGAGCTGGAGAAGGAAATGGCAAACCACTCTAATATCTTTGCCAAGCAAATCCCAAATGGGGTCAGGGAGAGTCATGACTGAAAAAGGACTAAATGACATCCACATTCAAAACAATTTAATGATTAAAATTAATAAATTAAAATTAATAAAATAAATTATTTTATTTGTCAAAGATTCATCAGTTTCTGCTTTACAGTTACTTAGGAAACATATTAACTAGTATTTCTCAGATAATATTTCATGACATTAGGGTTAATAAGCTTACACTAATGTCCTCCTTGGATGCCTCATCATGTATTAGAGATGCCTCTGGATTCTTGAAGGCAGCTCCAGCAAAATCCAGGCTCTGGTAGGTCCTGTCAAAGTGGAAAGGCTTTGGGTAAAGGTCAGTCAATCAACCACATATGCATTCATTTCAATCAATCAACCAACAAACATAAATTAAGCCTATTATGTGTCAGGCACTATACTAGTTGCTAGAGATACAAAAATAAAAAAATGAAACAGTTCCTGCCTTTGAGACTTACATTCTATTGGTGGAGATATGTATGTATGTATGTGTGTACATATGTATGTATATATACAAAATAAGTACAAGGTAATGGGGGGGGTGCTCAAAAAACCGTCTTCTGTCCAAGAACCAATCTAGCTAAGTATTGAAAGTTGGCCACTAAGTAATTGGGTTTTTTTGGTCATGGTCACCTATGAAAAAGATGGTTAATAGAAGGTAGCAAGGTCTGGCAATAATAATAACTGACGTTTATTTGATCTACAAAGTACTTTCCCCATAGCAGATCTATGAAAGCAGGTGGTCCTACAAAATTTATTTTAATGAAAATTCCCTGGGCCCAGAGGAGTCAAGAGGCCACAGTTCTAGACCCAGTTCTAGTACACCCTAGATAAATGTACCTTGAATAAGTTCTTCTGACATTTCTGAACCTGAATTTCTACAAAATGAGAAGTCCAGGAATGAAAGTTGGATTGAGAGTCAGAGGCTCTGAGTTTGAATTCTGACTCTTCCACTATATACAAAAGCATGACCTTGTACATCACTTGACCTCAGTTGCTTCATCTTTAAAATGAGGGAATGAGAGATGATGGCCTTTTAAAAATTCCCTTCTGGGGTGGCTAGGTGGTGCAGTGGATAGAGCACTGACCCTGAAGTCAGGAGGACCTGAGTTCAATTCCGGCCTCAGACCAAACACTTGACGCTTATTAGCTGTGTGACCCTGGGCAAGTCACTTAACCCCAATTGCCTAAAAAAAAAAATCCCTTCCAACTGTTACCCTGGGATCCTATGACTAATTTTAACTGGTTATTGTGAAGTGAAAAAGAGTGAAAACACACACATACACACACACACACACACACAAACATACAAAGGTGCTACTATATAGAAGTCAGGCAGCAAATTAGCTCTAATGAATATATATGCATATATATATACATACATATATATATGCATATATATATACACGTACATATATATGCATATATATACATGTACATATATAGGTGTATATATATATAATGACATGGATGATACAAGCTGTATTGCCCTCATTTTACAGAAGAGAAAACAAAAGCTCAAAAAAGATCAACTGATTTTTATATGGTCACAGAGCTAGTATAACCCAGCTCCATTGACTCTACTTCCAGTTCTGTTTCAACTACACCACCACACTGCTTCTATTCACATGGAAAAATGCTCTTTTGAATTAGACAATCACACTGTGCACAAGACTCCTTTTCCCTGGTGCATATTTAATGGTGAAGGAAAGCACACACCGCTTCATTTATTTATCACCTTGGTCTCTTGAACACAAAATCCTGTTGGCAGGTATGCCTTGGCTCCCCCTGGACATGGCCCCTGTGCTCGAGTTGGCCATAACTGCCTCTACCTTCCCCCTGGTCAAGATACAGATCAAGGAAAAGTCTTCGTGGTTGGGGGAGCAAATCCTAATGGCAGCTTCTCGGATGTGTACTACATTGATCTGGGTAAGATTGAGAACTGCAGAGTGTCTTGATTTCAAACTGTACTGTCCCTTTGATTGGGGTTGCCGAAAAGGAATTTCTACAGAATTCTCAGCCAATTCAGTTTGAACTGGGCTTATGGTTTGAACCCCAGCTTTACCACTTACTGTGTGACTTTGAGCAAATCCTTTAAACTCTGAGCCTCAGTTTTCTCATCTGTAAAGTGAGGAGGCTAGATTCATAAGCTCTAAGGTCTCTTTCAGCTCTATTACCTTGGGGTCCTATGACCAGTCCTAACATTACTGTGAAGTTAAAAGGAGTGAAAACACTGAAAAAATAAAAATGTCCTTTATAGAGGTAAGGACATTTATGTTTCTCTTGCAGTCAGGTATATTGAGGGTGAATCCTGACTTTATTACTTATTATCTGTGTGACTTTGGACAAGTCACTTAACTCTCTAAGCTTCAATTACTTCATCCATAACATGAGGAGGCTTGACAAGATGATCTGTAAGGTCCCTTGCAGCTACACAACTTACAATTATGTGGCTCCCTGTGCCTCAGCTTCCTCATTTGTAAAATGGGGGTAATATTTGCACTGTTAACCTCCCAGAAACAATCTGAGAGACCTGTTAATATATGAAGTGCTCTATATGTGTAAGCTATCATTATTATATTATTAGCAATCTTCCAGGATTGTTTTCATATAGGAAACAATAAATGCTTTTTCATTTATTCATTCATTCAAATGAGATAATGGTCATAAAATTCTTAATAAGCTTTCAACTTCAGATAAATCTCAGTGTGTATACAGAGAGCCTTCACTGGTGAAGACCAAACTCTTTACCTCTTGCTATGCAATTCTTGCCCATATCTTTCCCTAAAATCTCCAAATAGGATTTAACCCAATATATTGAAGACTTCCCTCTAGTCTTTCTCATATTATAGAAGAACCAGTAAACATTAATATAAATGTTAGCTATATAAGATTTTTTTTCTCCCTCCCTTCCTTCCCCCCTCCTCAAGATGACAATCAATCTGATATAGGCTGTAAATGTATAATCATATGAAACATGTTTTCACATTAGCCATGTTGTGAAAGAAGAATCTGAACAAAAGGAAAAGACCACAAGAAAGAAAAAAAAGAGAAAGAAAAAATAATATACTTCATTTGTATTCAGACTCCATAGTTCTTTCTCTGGATATGGGTTGCATCTTCCACCATGAGTCTTTTGGAATTGTCTTAGATCATTGTATTGCTGAGAAGAGCCAAGTCTCTCAAAGTTGGTCATCCCACAATGTTGCTGTTACTGTATACAATGTTCTCCTGGTTCTAGTGAGCTATTATTATTATAGAAAATTGATCATTCTGGGAGCTAGGTGGCACGCCTTAAAGTCAAGAGGACCTGAGTTCAAATCTGATCTCAGATACACAATACTTACTAGCTTTGTGACCCTGGGCAAGTCACTTAACCCCAATTGCCAAGCAAAAGAAAAGAAAATTCATTGTTTTCATCATGTTTAAGGGAGTTCCTGGAATCAGTCATTCACTTATTACTCTTTTATATTCTTGATCCTTGAATAAAATAGCTTTTTTTGTAGTCAAGTAAAAGTCTTGGGATGTTGAGTTTGTCTTCTATAGACTCATGAAAAGTATTCTCAGTAAATTATACTTTGTATCATTATTAACATACGCTTAGTAGATGCCTTCTTGTGAACTATTTCGATCACTTCAATGAATATGTACTAATTGTCTATTATATGTAAGGTCAGTTGGCTGACTGAATTTACAATTGACATATACACAGAAGATTACTTCTTTGCCACAAGCAGCATAAGCCAGGTTATCCAGGAGAGGAGACTGACCAACCAGCCCAATAATTGTTGAAAATATTTTACAGCTACCTATCGATGGAAGGAAGTAGACTGTGAGGGTCTATTGGCCCGCTATGAGCATGCCAGCTTCCTTCCCCTCAGCACCCCTGGCAGGATCTGGGTATTTGGAGGAGCAGACCAGTCAGGGAACCGAAATTGTTTACAAGCATTGGATCTTGGTAAGTGCCTCATGGCCACCTGCATTACCTGATGAGGAAATCATATCATTCCCTATGGAGGAAATTATTTGGATTGTAGTGAATAACTGTATGTCAAAGCTGTTACAGAAAATATGTTACAGAAAATAAGAATTATATTTCCTAGAATAATCTGAAAGTAGATTAGATTTTCTTGATTTATGTTTGAGAAAATGTGCAGTACTTCACATGTTTTATTCTATTCTGTTCTCCACATTTTGGAAGGACATTGAAAAACCAGGGTATATCCAGAGGAGAGAGACAGTAGGTGAGGAAATACAGGTTTGAATCCTGCCTCTCACCTCAGTATGTCACTTAGCTTATCTAGGCCTCAGTTTTTTCATCTATCAAATAAAGAGATTAGAATGAATTCTTTCTAGATTTAAATCCTATAATTCAAGTATGTGGCAGGATATTATAGAAGGAATTCTTACCCTGAGTAGGGAGTTGGGCTAAATACCCCTAAGTTCCTCTCCAACTCCAGCATTGTTTGACTCTCTGTTGATCAGCTGTTGGAATGGTTGCATCTGAGTTGGTTTTTCAGGATAGGGCATGAGATGTACTGAACCATTTATACAATTTTGCCCAGTTTCCCTTGTGAACAATATATTTTTCAGAATCTCAGAGCCAGGAAGTATCACAAGTATTCATCTAGCTTCTATAAAAAAATGTCCAAGGACAGGGAGTTCTTTACCTCTCAAGTCAACTCATCCTGTTTTTGGATAACTCTGATTATTAGGATGTTTTTCTTCATATGAAGTAGAAATCTGACTCTCTGCTACTTCCCACACACTGTTCCTATAAGAATAAGTCTATTCCTCTTTCACAGAGCAGTCCTTCACAGAATTCTAGGTTTATAAGAGACTTTGGAAGACCAACCAACCTTGAACAACAACCCACAAGTGGTCCCCCTTTAAGACAGCTATCCTATTTCTCTCTATGCCTTCCAAGACCCAAGTGTTAGCCCTACCCACTCACCCACTTCTCTTAGCCACTTGTAAATCATTTTCAAAGTTAAGGAGAAGGGAAAGAATATTCTGCCTGTGCAAATCTAACTGGTCAGGATAGAGAACAGAATTAGGGCCTTGACCTTATATAAGCTAAGTCTGGTAGGAGTTATAGTAGAATATAGATATTGATAGAATTGAAATTTTCTGTTATAGAAACTGATCCTACATCAGCTCCTGTCCCTTCCCTAGAAAATATAAATTTGACAATAGGCCAAGAAATATCAAAGACAAAGAACATTGTGGATGACTTTTATAATTAAGACAAGTTGCAGAGATGGCACCATACTCTGAGATCCAGTGTAGGATAGAGGAAAGAACACAAGAGTTGTACTCAAAGGCAGCTAAGTGGCACAAAGTAATGCATTTTATATACTAGGAAACTGAGGCCCAACAAGGACAAGTGGCTTGTACATGGTCACAAAGCTGGTGAGTAGGAGAGTCAGGAACTGATTTCTCAGTGACAATTCACATTTCTCAATACTTTACAGAACATTCCTCCATGAGACATTCCTGTAAGGGAGATAGTGTGAATGGGATTTTCTCTTTTTTACAAATGAGAAAAGTGAGGCTGTGAGGTCATATGTCAAAGCCAAGATTCGAGTTCCAAGTCCAGTACTCTTTCCCTCTCTCTCTTTTTTTTTTTAAGGCAGTTGGGGTTAAGTGACTTGCCCAGGGTCACACAGCTAGTAAGAGTCAAGTGTTTGGTCTGAGGCCATATTTGAACACAGTTCCTCCTGACTTCAGGACCAGTGCTCTAGCCACTGTGCCACCTAGCTGCCCCTCTACTACCCTTTCCACAATAGTGTGCTTTATCTCCTTAGCATTGGGCTCTGGATTAGAACACCGTGTACCAATGCCAGCTCTTACACTTGGCAGCAGCATGACTTGGGCCAAATCACTTTAGGTTTCTGAACTATCAGTTACTTCACACTTTCCATCAGAGGCTGTTTGTATAAATAAAGTAGTATATGTTGAAAGTACTTGGTTTGTCCTCACAAATCACTACATAGATGCACATATGTCACTACACTTATATGTGTATGTAGTATGCATATATGCATATGTATGTTTATATTTTTGCATCTACATACATATATGTGTTTACATTTATATATTTTATTCTAGATGTGTGTGTGTGTATGTATGTGTATCTAATCACAAAAAGTCTTAATGCAATTTTAAGCTATTAAAGCTTTGTAGACATACACACACATACACAGGATTTTTATTAATATTTTGCTCAACTTTATAACAACTATGAGGTTTAGAGAACTCTGGCAGGTTTCTTCCATAACTGGTATTCGTAGGGACAATAAGATAAATGTGGTGGTTTCTTACATGTTACAATTTGAGGGGAGCCAGAAACTAACTTTCTCTCTCTCTCTTACTGAGGCATTGTTGTATAATGGTGAAAGTCAATCAGTTAACAAGCATTTATTAAATACTTATGATATGCTGTGTTCTGTGCTAAACTCTGAGAATACAAAGAAAGGCAAAAACATGGTCTCTGACCTCAAGAACATTATAGTTTAATGGGATGGGGGGGTAATGTAAACTATAATTAAACATTATAGTTTAATTAATGAAAAAGACTAGGTTATATAAGATATATACTAGTCTTGGTCTTATAATCAATCAGTAAACATTTATTAAGTACCTACCATGTGCTAGGCACTGTGCTTAGTGCTGGAGATACAAAAAGAGACAAAATATAGTCCCTGCCCTCAAGGAGCTTATAATCTAATGGGGGAGACAGCATGCAAACAAATCTATACAAAGCAAGCTATAATACAGCATAAAAAAAGAAATAATTGACAGGGAAGGCAGTGAAATTAGGAGGGCTTGGAGAATTAGGTTGTTATCCTTCATTCTCAAAGAGGACCAAAATGATATCACTGTTATAGAGTCAAGTTACAGTGGGTCGGACTGTGGCTGATCAGAACAATAGGAGCTCGGAATGCTCTACTTCAGTTTTGCCTTGGAGATTTTAGTTGGGACTTAATAGAAGCCAGAGAAGTCAGTAGTTGAAGTAGAGGAGGGAGAACATTCCAGGCATGGGGGACAGCCAGAGAAAATCTGGGACCTGAGAGATAGATAGTCTTGTTTGTGTAACAATCAGTATCACTGGATTGAAGAGTTCATGTTGGGTAGGAAAGATGTAAGAAGACTGGAAATGTAGGAGAGGCCAGGATATAAGGGTTTTGAATGCTGAATAAAGCATTTTGCATTTGGTTCTAGAGGCAATAGGAAGCCACTGGAGTTTATTAAATAGAGGTGCGTGTGTGATATGATTGGACTCGTGCTTTAGGAAGATCACATTAGTGGTTGAATGGAGGATCTACTGGAGTGAAAAGAGGTTTGAAGCAAGCTGACTCACCAGCAGGTTACTGCAGTAATTCAGATGTGAGATGATGAAGGCCTGCACTAGAGTGATGGCAGTGTCAGAGGGTAGAAGGGTTTGTAAAGGTGAAATTGACAGGCTTTGGCAACAGACTGGCTGTGGGGAGTGAGAGATAGTAATAAGTCCCAGATGACCCCCACATTTTGAGTCTAAGAGACTGGGAGGATGGTGCTGCCCTCTAGAATAATAGGGAGGGTTGGAGTGGAGGGAAGGTTTAGGGGGGAAGATAATGAGTTTTATTTTGGACATGTTGTGTTTAAGATGACTACTGGACATCCAGTTCGAAATGACTGAAAGGCAGTTGGAAATTGGAGGTCAGCAGAGAGTTTGGGGCAAGATAAATAGATTTGAGAATCATCAGCATAGAGATGGTAACTAAATCCATGGAAAGTGGTGAAATCACCAAGTAAAATATTATAGGGGAAGAAAAGAGGGCCCAGGACAGAAACCTAATGGACATCTATGGTTAGAGGGCATTGACTGGAAGAGGATACAGCAAAGGAGACAGAGAAGGAGCAGTCGGATAGGTATGAGGAGAACCAGGAGAGAGGGGTATTCAAAAAACCTAGAGAGAAGAGAGTATCCAGGAGGGGAGAGTAATCATCAGTGTCAAAAGCTGTAGAGTAGTCAATGAAGACTGAGAAAAAGCCATTGGATTTGGCAACTAAGAGATCATTAGTAAGTTTGGAGAGAGCAGTTTCAGTGGAAAGATAAGGTCACAAGGTGGATTGTAAGAGGTTAAGAAGAGAGAGAGAAGAGAGAAAGTGTAGTAACCTATTGTAGGCAGATTTTTTGAAGAGTTTAATTACAAAGGGGAAGAGATATAGGATGGTAATTAATGGGGATGGAAGAATCAAATGAGGGTTTTTTCAGGATGGATGAGACATGGACATGTTTGGAAACAGTAAGAAATGAGCCAGTAGAAAGGGAGAGAATTAAAAGTGAAAGAATGGGAATGACATAGGGGGCAATCTGTTGGAGGAGACAGGATGGAATGAGATCACTTGAACAAGTAGAGGGGTTAGCCTTGGTAAGGAGTAAGGCCACTTCATCATGTGAGATAGGGGTGAAGAAAGAGAAAGTGGCAGAAGCAGCTGAGGGTAGATGAGGGGAGAAGAGAGAGTTTACAGTGACTGGCCTCAATTTTTTCTGTGAAATGTAAGGCAAAGTTCTCCGCTGACAGGCTGGTGAGAAGGGGAGCTATGAGAGGTTTGAGAAGGGATGAAAAGGCTTGGAAGAGCTGCTGTGGAGAATGGGAGAGTGACTTGATAAGGGAGGTATGGTAGGTATGCTTAGCAGCAATGAAGACCCAGTTGAGACTGTGTAACATATATTTATAATGGACCCAGTCAGAAAAGTGGTGTGATTTCTTCCACCATCATTTAGTAGCACATATGTAAGAGTGAAGGTGACAAATGGTGGGAATGATCCAAAACTGAGGCTTTGCTAAGGCACAATTGCTAATATGATAAGGGGGCTGGAGATTCAAAAGAGGAGGACAGTATAGAGTTGAATTAATTCACGAAGTGGTCAAGATGGGGAGAAGAGGAAAGAGTAGTTAGTACAGGGGAAATGGCTGAGGAGATAATTGAGGGGTCAAAGGATTGAAGGTCACAGTGCAAAGAGTAGGGTTTTGTAAGAGAAAGCAGAGGGGGAGATAAAAAGCCAATCAGATTATAATCAGATAAGGGAAATTAAGGATTCTCTAACATAGACATGGTACATTTGTGAGTGATGGCAAGATCAAGGGTATGACCATCTTTGTATGTGGCTGAGGTAGGCTGGAAGAATAGCTCATGAGAAGTGAATAGATTGATGGACTTAGTGGTTAGGGTTTTTGAGGCAAAATTAATGTGTATGTTGAAGTCCCCTAGTATGACGGCAGGAATTGGGGAGGAGAGAAATATTGAGAGTCAGATATTGAACTCGTTGAAGAAAGAAGAGGAGTGACCTGGGGATCTGTAGATAACAGTTACCAGGATTTTGATTGGGAAGGTCTGAGTTCAAGTCTTGTCTCTGATATTTGTTAGTCATATGACCCAGGGCAAGTTATTTTGCTTTATGAACTTCAATTTCCTCATCAGTACAATGGGGATGATAATCTTTGCGTAACCTCCCAAGTGATGTTGGGAGGAAAGTATTTTATAAACCTTTAAACCCAATAGAAATGTGAGTTGTTATTAAAATGTCACCACCATAACTCTTATACCCCTACGTCCCATTGCCTAGAATTCCACTTTAAAGGTAATTAGCTCCATTGATCCCTTATTTAAAATATAAATTCAACAGTACTTTAATTAAGACATTATCATGTGCAGAGCAGTCTTTGAGGCAATCATGTCTCGCCCCAGCACCAGGCACAGTGTTATACAAACTGTAAGGGCTAAATAAAGGTTCATTCATTGAATTGAATAATAATTTTATTATTGCTTATAATAAGAGCTGTGAGTTCTTAAGGACTATAACTACCAAAATGCAAACAAAGATGGAAAAGCTACAAGTTTAGGCCTAACAAGGGACTGCGTGTCTGTCAGAAGACCAGCCCTGCTAAGTGCAGAAAAGTTTATCCCCAGGGAGTTGGCCACCAGGGAATGAATGTCTTTGCCCACAGTGTTTCATTATGATCATCTACTTTATTTTGATCATCTACTGAAGTACAGAGAGGTTGTATCCTACATCAGTAGAGCATGCACAGATCTCCGAAATATTGAAATACTATTGGTGGCAGCTAGATGGCACAATAGATAAGAATGCTGCACTTGGAGTCAGGAAGACCTGAGTTCAAATCCTTCCTCAGACATTTAGTTGCTGTGTAACCTGGGCAAATCATTTAACCTCTCAGCCTCAATTTTCTCATCAATAAAATGGGGATCATTTTACTTTTTTATTCAATTTCATTTTTATTTTCAGTTCCTGATTTTCTTCCTCCCTTTATTCCTCTGCATCCCAAGAGAACACAAGAATTACAATATCCATTATAAATATGAAATCATGCAAAACATATTTTGATATTAGTTATATTCCAAAAGAGTGAAAAAAGAAAAGAAAAAGGAAGAAAGAGAAAATAATATGGTTCAGTCTTTACTCTGAGTCAGTTTTCTATCTAAAGGTGAATAGCATTTTTCATCATGAATCTTGGAATGGTGGTAGATCATTGTATTGATCAGATTCACTAAGTCTTTCAGAGTTGATTCTCTTTATAATATTGCCGTTACTGTGTACATTGTTCTCTTGGTTTTGCTCACCTCATTCTACATCAGTTCAGGACCTACCAGGTTTTCCTGAAACCATCCCCTTCATCATTTCTTACAGCACAATAGTTTTCCATTACATTCATATACATAACGTTTTCAGCCATTCTTCAATTGATGGACAAAATAGGGATAATTTTAAATGCTTACTTTACAGGTTTGTTGTGAAGATCAAATAACATATTTAAAGCTCTTTGCAAACAGTCAGTTGCGGTATAAATATTGGTTCTTATTAAATATAGAATTGGCTCATGGCCTTGCAATATGATGATGATGATAGTATAGCAATCCTGCTAACCCAAAATTGTTTTATAAAAATTACATGTGGATCAGAAACCAGGATATGGAGCACTCCTAATGTCACTGGCACACCGCCATCCCCAAGAACATTTCACACAGCATCAGCAGTCATCGGAAACCAGCTATATGTTTTTGGTGGTGGAGAGAAAGGTGCCAAGCCTGTTCAGGACACGCAGCTCCACATATTTGACGCAAGTATGGCTAACAAATGATTCGTTTATTCAGTCATCCAACAAGCTTCAAGCCCTCATCACCTTTTTCTTACACTATTTCTTAATAGCCTCATTGCATCAACTTTCTCTTCTTGAATCTGTCCTTCATACTGATGCCAAGATAATTTTTCTAATATACAAATCTAATCATGGCCTTCCTCTGACCAAAATCCTTCAATGATTCGCCATTTCCCATAAGATAAAATATAAATGGCATATCTTGGCATTCATGACCTTCTACTACATGGCTTCAAATGAGTAATTTTATATTATCTTCCCTTAATACATTCTAGGTGCTGACCAAACTGGATTACTCAGCTGTTCCCTGGTTTTGTGCAGCTGTGTCCTCTTACTGTGCAACCACATAGGCCACCCCCAATGACTGAAGTGCCTTTCTTCATCTCCAACTTTTGAGAACCTTTTCTTAATTCAAGATCCAGCTTAGCTGCCACCTCCTCAATGAAGCCTTTTCTGATTTCCTCTTCTGAAAGTAGTCTTTCCTTCCTCATATTTTTCTGGAGTACTTTGGAGTTTTCTTCCCCCTCCCCAAATCATATCCTGCTTTGTTTCACATTTATTTATATCATTATTGTATACCCACCCAAACCCCTAGTAGACTGAAAATTTCTTGAGGTTAGGAATTGTCAATTTTTTATCTTTGTATCTGTAGTACTGACCACAGGGCTGAGCACATAATAGTCATTTAAATGATATTTGTTGAACTGAATTGAAATTAGGTACTTTCTTTGCAAAACATGGTATCAGGTGTTATGAGGGAGACAGATATAGGGCACCTGCTCCCTGATCAAAGGAGCTTACAGTTAAGTCAGGGAGACAATACAAATATCAGACAGTGTGGGAGCATGGAAAGATTTCTGTTTGGAAAGTCTGAGTTCTAATTTCTATTCTACCACTACTAGGTAAGTCATTTGGCATCTTTTGGACATAAAGCTCAAATGTGCTTGAACTCTGAGGTTTGTTTTTTCTGGAAAGCTTATGAGCCTCAGCCACAAAATTAAATGCTGGGTGGGTCTAGATTTTCTTCTATGTCTATCTCAGATTTCTCATCTTTAAAATGAGAAGGCTGGATTAGATGATCACTAAAGTTCCTTCCAGCTCTGATCTTCTCTTTCTGTATTTTAAAATTCCATGTTCTAAGGTCCATTCCAGCTCAGATATTCTAGAATCTATATTCTCACATTCTGTGTTCAGAGATCCCTTCCAGCTCTAACAATCTGTCATCTGTGTTCTAGACCTGCTTTCAAGTTCTCATTGGAAACTCCCAACAGTGATTTCATTTACATTTCTTTCTTTTGGCAGTGGGCAGTTTTGAATGAGATTTAAAAAGAGTAATGACAGGTGTAAAATATAATTTTCATTTGCATCTTCCATTCCAGATGGGGCTTGCTTTGAGAAAACCTAACAGACAAAATCTTAAGCTACAGAGCAGATAAATTTAGTGGAGGGAAAAAGAGGGATTTGTTCACATCACCAAAGGATTTTCTTACTTTCAAAAAAGACTCCACCATGAGAGTTCTTTTACATAATAGCAGTTATCTATTTCGTTAGTGGCTTTGGCCAAAAAAAAAACCCATCACCTTTCAGCCAACCTTTTAGCATTGAGCCTCTTTGCTCTTAGCTAGCCTGGTCCTTGAACTGTGTTAGTGTGGTCCTTCTTTGAGCCTGTATTCAAAATCTTTCCAGCTGGGTAGAACCTAACAGAACCTAACACCATTGAGACAGCCTCCAAGAGCCCAAGATCACTTTAAAAACATTTATTAATTTATGGAATAAAACAAGCATTTCCATAACATTGTACAATAAAAAAGATGATTGTATATGAAACTGCAAATCTACTATATACAACTTGCTATTCCCTTCAAGTGTACAACAAAATTATCATGTAATTTTGTTCCTTTTTCCCCCCTCCCCCCACCCCCTATCTGCATCCAGAGAAAGAACTGATAGATAGAAGTAGTATAGAATAATTTTAAATAATAATTCAACAAACATTTAGCAAGCACTTATGCAAGGCCATGTGCTAGGCACTGAATTTCAAAGGTGAAAAGTGACATAGACCTGCAAGCTTAAAACGAGAGGATGTGGCATGCATAGAGCTAGAGTCAGGAAGAATTGAGTATAAGTACTCCCTCATACATCGACTTCCTGTCATCATTTAACCTCTCAGTGCTTCCAGGCAACTCCCTAAAACTACAAGATACAGACCATTTGCTAATCTTTATCAGTGGAAAGAATTACCACACCTGCCATGCTGTATATTGATTAAATAGCAACAGCAATAATAATAGCTAATATTTACATAGTATTTCAAGGTTTGTAAAGCCCATTTATATATGTATACACACGCATGTATATATAAAATCTCATGTGATCTTCGCAACTCGGAGAGGTGGTGCTATTATTATCCCCATTTCACAGATGAGGAAAGCGCAGACAGAGCGGTTAAATGATTTGCCTCGGGTCACATAGCTTAATATGTGTCTAAGGCAGAATTTGTATGCAAGTCTTCCTGATTTCAAGGCTAGGACTCTGACACCTAGCTGCCTTCCCTATCCCCCACTCCAAAAAAAATATTTCTGTGCACACAAATAGGATACAAAGTAGAATGTTTAGGGGAAGATAAAAGCCAAGCAAAATGCTATGATGGTGACAATCTTTTCTAACATTTCTTCTGCATCTTCAAATTTTGTGACTATGGATGGTCTCTAGATGCTGAGTTCTCTTCTAGCTGTACATCTGTGGGTATAATAATAGCTCCAATTTCCAGAACACTTTAATGTTTATGAAGCACTTTGCTCACAATAGACCTATAAGGTATATATTGCAAATTTTATTATCTCCATTTTACAAAAGAGGAAGCTGGGCCTCTAAGGGATGAGGTGACATAGCCAAGAGATGCCAGACCTGAGAGTTGAACCTGGCTCATTTGAGCCCATGTACTATGCTTTTCCCATTATGACAGTTTATTCACCAAGATCCTATTTAAACATAACTTTTCAGGAATGACCTTCAGCATGAAATGAGATACATCTATTCTCAGAAAACTTTAAAAGTTTGCTATTTCAGATGATGCCAATGTAATACATGCAGTTGAGGGGTGCCTGTGTATTTCCAAAGTACTGCTGCCTAATGTCATTGTATTTTATATTTTCAGCAACATTGAGCTGGTCACATCCAGAAACCTGTGGGGAACCACCCCTACCCCGTCATGGCCATGTGATGGTGGCATTGGGGCCAAAGCTCTTTGTTCATGGTGGTTTGGCAGGGGATGAATTCTATAATGATCTGTATTGCATAGACACAAGTAAGTGGAGTAGAAATGGGGGTGGGAAAGAGAACAATGACTTTTAAAAACAATTTGTGGTATACCAGATACATAAATTTGCAAGCAGGTAATCATGCTGAATATTAATTGTTAAATCTTTACTTAATACCAATTAGTGTTAGTATTATAATGCTTTAAGATTTGCAGAGCTGTTAAGGTATATTCTTATTTAAACCTCACAATCACCTCCATGAGATAGGTACTATAGGCATTATTTCCCCTCATTTTACAGATAAGGAAACTGAGGCTCAGAGAAGTTAAGCAACTTTCCCATAGTTATGCTACTAATAAGTTCATGGATGGGATTAGTTCTTTCCTGACTCCAAGGCCAGTGCCCCCTCTACTACACCGTGCTGCTGCTTGTGGTGTTTTAAAGTTTATAAAGAACTTTTCTTCTCATCAATCCTGCAAAATGTGTAGAAAAAGTATAATTTTGCCCATTTTACAGATGTATTGGCTCTTATCTCAGCCCAGATTTCCATACTCTGAAGTTCCAGCATTCTTTCTACTACTGTTCATTGTAGTTGAGAGAGCACTACCCATTAAGAAGCTAGATTTAGTGGCTTTTAGGACCCACTATTCTGCTCTGAGAACACCAGAAAGAACTCAGATTTTACATAAGGACAATTTGCAACAACCACCCTTAGCCATCTCCTTGGTTTCCTCATGATTCTGGCTACTGGACAGTGTTTGTCAGTGTCACTTCATTGTGTCATGTTTGTTCTCTTGGGCAAACAGCAGGTAAAATAGAAATGTGGCTTTTACAACAAAGATTTAAATGAGTGAGGGACTCTCTAAAGTCCTTTCTAGCTCTAAAACCGATGTTCATCGTCCTAGGTGTTAGAGAAGCAAAATAGTCCATGCTTTTAAGAAACTTACAGTCTACAGGAAAGGGTAAATGTGGTAGCAAAGGAGAGAGTTACAAAATGTTCTGGGAAGACTTGAAGAGTAAGATAATGTTTTCAGCTGGGTGGAGAATTAGGGAAATCTACCTAAACTGAAACCCTTGTTTTCTCATTTGCTTCTAAAATGGTGTTCACTCTTTTGGTAGATGACATGAAATGGGAGAAGTTGGAAGCCACAGGGGATGTCCCATCAGGCTGTGCTGCCCATTCTGCTGTGGCCATTGGGAAGCACATATACATCTTTGGAGGAATGGCTCCCACAGGGGCACTGGCTACAATGTACCAATATCACATAGGTAGGAAGTTCAATTTTTACCTCTTTAAACCAATGTTTCAACTGTTACTCTGGAAAATGCTACATTACTTTGATTTTTCAGTGAGGCTATATGAGTAGCAATGAGTCTGAGGGATTATGGTGATATGTTTTTATTTCATTAACTATTTTCTAATTACATGTAAACAAATTTTAGCATTCGTTTAAAAAATTTTTGAGTTCCAAATTTTCTCTCCCTCCTGCCCTCTCTTACCCTTTGAGAAGGCAAGCAATATGATATAAAGTCACACAAAACATATTTCCATATTTTATTGTTGTTCAGTCGTTTCAATCATGTCCAACTCCTTGTGACCCTATTTGGGGTTTTCTTGGGAAAGATAATGGGGTGATTTGCCATTTCTTTCTCCAGTTCATTTTACAGATAAGGAAACTGAGGCAAGCAGGATTATGTGACTTGCCCAGGGTTACATAGACAGTTAAGTGTCTGAGATCACATTTGATCTCAGGCAGATGAGACTTCTTGATTCCTGGCCTGGTTTTCTATCCCCTGCACCACTTAGCTGCCCCATTTCCATATTAGCCATGTTGCAAAAGAAAAGACATACACAGAAGTATGCTTCAGTCTGCACTCAGAGTTAATTAGTTCTTTTTGTGGACAGGGATACCATTTTTCATCATAGGTCCTTTGGAATTATGTTGGATCATTGTCTTGATTAGAGTAACTAAGTCTTATGCTGTTGATCATCCTTACAATACTGAGGTTACTGTGTACAATGTCCTGATTCTGTTCACTCCACTTTGCATCAGTTCACATAAGTCTTCTATGAGGAAATTTTGACATAAAAGTAACTACTATAGGCCTTTTTCTTTATTACTGTTGTGCAGATCTTAAAGGCCTGGCATATTCAGTGAGTCCCAGAGTACCTGGGCTGAGAAGGGGGTGGGTTTCATGCTGTGTAGAACTATGGTTCATAATCTTTGTTTGTGTCCAGGGTCCCTTGGGCAGTCTATTGAAACCTATGGACCCCTTCTCAGAATAATATTTTTAAGTGCATAAAATGAAATACATAGAATTACAAAGGAAGTCGATTATATTGAAATACCATTATAAAAACATTTTTTAAAAATTCATGGACCACAGGTTAAGAACCCTTGCTATAAATACTGATTCCTTTGACTTTTTCCCTTTCTCTCTATTTCTCTTTTTTGTTCTTCATTTTAAAATAATTTATTGACCTCTTAATTTCCAACAACAGAAACACCAAATAAAATGCATTTATGACTATTTATACCTAAAAAATACTTTCTACATATAACATATCCATTTTAAATATTTGTCTGAACTTGTGATTTTATCAGTGCAGAGAACTTTAAGGAAATTCCCTCTACCAGTGCAAATAGTAACTGTTCTGCATTTTGTCCCTGTTAGAGAGTTGCCTGAACCATTGAGAAGCTGTACTCTGTCCAGGTTCACACAGCCAGCAGGTATCAGAGGTAGAACTTGAATGTACATGGTCCTGACTCTGAGGCAGGTAGTCCTATCTACACAACCTTTATACATTTCTTATACATATTTTCATACATTTTTTAAAAATCTGATTTAAATCAATGTGATTACTGTTTTGGTTCTACTTTCCCTACACATCATTTTATATGTCTTTTCAGCTGCCTTTATATTTGTCTCTTTTTTCTTTTTGGAGGGAGGATTCCGGATCTATGAGTTCATTGAAGTAAAGAGCTTCCAATATGGAACTCCCTCCATTAATGCAGCTTTGTGGCTCTTCCATAGAGAGTTGTCTGGACACTGACAGGTTAAGTATATTTATTGCCCATGGTACATAGCTAGTATGTGTAGGGACAGGACAATTACATCTATTTCTTCAAATGAATTCAATAACCATCTAACTAAATGTCTCATATCAGGTACTGTGTTAGATTCTAGCTATACTGTGCTGCTTTTTGTATTTTTTAAGTATCATTTCAATGACATTGTAGTATTATTTTCATATTTCATAGTTTATTCAATAGCTGAATTTTGGGGTATTTAGGTTTTTTTCTAGTTTCTAATTATAAACATTGCTAATAACATATAGATACATGAACATAGGGACAGCTTAATGGTGCAATGGATAGAGTGCCAGGCCTGTAGTCAGGAAGACTCATTTTCCTGAGTTCAAATCTGGCTTCAGACACTTACTAGCTGTGTGATCCTGGGTAAGTCACTTAACTCTGCCTCAGTTTCCTCATCTGTAAAAAAGCTGGAGAAGGAAATGGCAAACTACTCTAGCATTTTTGCTAAGAAAACCCTAAATGAGGTTATGAAGAGTCCAACATAACTGAAAACAACTGAACAACAACATATGGACATATATCATTTTTTCTTTATGATAATACTTTGAGTTTATTCTCAATAACAGAATTATTAGAACAACAGATAACATCTTATGATGTTTGTATATTACCAAAATGCCCCCTGAAAATTTTTTTTACCAGTTTTAAATTCCAATAATAATGTATGAATGTTTCTAGGTTGTTGTTTTTTGTTTTTGTTTTCAAACACAGAAAAACAACATTGGAGCCTGCTTAAATTTGATACATATTCACCCCCTGGACGACTGGATCATTCAATGTGCGTCATTCCTTGGCATGTGGCTCCTGCCTCTGCAGAAGAACATACACATGTAGGCAGTGTCAATAGCAATGTAGAGAAAGAAGGCTTAGCTGATGAAATTGTGAAAGGTGATGACTTAGATCAGAAGGAGACAGACACATTCCTGTGCTTAGTGTTTGGTGGGATGAATACTGAAGGGGAAATCTACAATGACTGTGTTGTGACACTAGTTGACTAATAAAATTCACATGCTTTCTTAATACTTTTCAAATTTTCTATGTTTAGAAATTAGAAGTGAACAACTGTTAGGGGTAGATAGAACTGCAATACTAATTTTATGCTAGAAGCTTAAGTGTTTTGTGCTGTATGATGTTTCCATATTGGCACAGTCAGATTGACCAGATAAAGAGATTATCTATAAAAGTAAAAAACTTCATGAATCATAGAACGTTAGAGATGGAAGGGGACCTTAGACTAAACTTGTGTGTGCATCATGGATGTTAAAGAACAAAAACAAAAACGAATAAACAAGTTTGCAAACCCAATGTTAAGAACCTCTGCCTTAGAATATAGACTATTAGAAGATGAAACACAAGATGTTGGAATTCCAAACAGGCTTAGAGATCACCTGGTCCAACTCTCTTATTTTACTTATAAGGAAATTAAGACTTAGTGGTTGGCTCAGTGACTTGCCTGAGGTCACACCAACTAGTAAGAGAACTAGGACTTTCATCATTTCCTGACATTTAGTCCAGTACTTTTCCCCCTCTATCACATTTTCTCCCTACGATCATGGAAATCCTATCTTGCATAGCAGCAAGACGTAGATGTTGCAAGAACTACTTATCAACCAATATGCCTATGTTTCACAAATACCAATACAATCAGGTGGTTTGTATTAAACTGTAGTTCGGCAGCAAATGCCTTAATTGCAGCTTGAACTGAAAAGAGATCTCAAACTACTTAACAGTTTTCAGCAAAAGGCTATCCATTCAAGGAGAGGGATTGAACATTCATTAGCTTTATTGAGTTTTGTATGGTAGGACTGGTCCTACTGTTCTTGGGAGGATGTCTCTTTTCAAAGCAATGGTTTCTTCCCTGATTCCTGTCTCTCCCTGTCCCACATCTTGCAAGTCACTATGAAATTTGCCTTTAGACAATTTAGTTCTCAGAAACAAAGATGATTTAATCCAAAGAATACTGGAATCAGAAAACCTCATTTCAAATGTTGGCTAGACTGCTTTACTGCATGACCTTAGTCATTTAATCCCTCTTGGTCTCATTTTCCTCAAGTGCAAAATGAGAAGGTTAGCCTAGATGATCTGTAAGGACCCTTCATGCTCTGTTTCTTACAACTCTATAGACATAACCTACAATTGGTACCTATTAATAACCATATCACATATAAATTTCTACCTCACTTTCAAGTCCCTAGTTCTACCCTCATCTACCTAATGTCACTATTCCAGACACCAGCTTTCTGCTTTGAGTATTTATTCATAATGAAGACCTGAGTTCAAATCTGGCCTCAGACCAAACACTTGACGCTTACTAGCTGTGTGACCCTGGGCAAGTCACTTAACCCCAATTGCCTAAGATAAAAATAATAATAATAATAATAAGTATTCATTTATATTCGACATTTATTAAATGTTTACTGTGTACAACATACCAGGAGAAAGTTTAAATAAGACACAAGTTCTATTTTCAGCTGTTTACACTCTAGTAGAGGGATAAGACATCAGCACCCATAGTTATATTGCACATGACATAAATTAGGCACAAAAGAAAGTGTTATGTGAGTTTTAAGGGAAAATTCATTAACAGATGTTAGGGGATCAAGCACAACTTCATGGGGGAGCTGACATTCGGGCTGAGATTAAATAATGGCTGAGGATTTGGTTAGATAGGATGGGCATGGCAGGTGTAAGGAACTGTAAACAATAGCAGTCATAGGAAGATGGTGGATTCTAGAGACAGGGAAGCAGTTCGTTTTTTCCTGGAGTATAGAGTATGTAGAGGAAAATCATAACAGATTGTGAAGGACCTTGGATGCCAAGCAAAGGAATCAGTCTTACTCAAGAGGCAATAGAAAGCGCTAGAATATTTTTTAGTAGAAGAATGACATGAATAGATTTATTTGTAAGAACAAAACAAAAAAAACAGTGTTCTGGCAGAATATGAAGTATGGATTGGTAGAAGCAAAGAGTGGGAGCAGAAATCTCTGCTAGGAAGCTATTACAGTAACCTAGGCAGATGGTTATGAAGGTTGGTGGTAGAGGGAACAGGACAGAAGCAGATATGCAGAGGTATAATTGACAGGACTTGATAATTGATTGTATATGAGAGGTGAAGGAAGGCAAATAACTTCAGGCTTATGAACGTGGAAAACTGGATGAATCACTGGTGCTACTGCAGACAAATAATCAACAAGCATTTGTAAAGAGCTCACTGTGTGATCAATTCCTACTATGTGACAAATGCTAGAGGAAATAGAAATATAAAGAAACAAGGGAAACATTTCCTGCGCTTAGAAGCTTAGGGAGACACTATGTATGTGGCATAGGTATTTACATAAGATACACAATAATTTGGGGGTAGGTTGTAGCTATAGTAGCTGGGGATGAGCGATAAGGAAAGGCTTCATGCAGGTGTCACTTGACTCTTGAAGGAAACCAGGGAGTCTAAGAGGCAGAGGTGTGAAGACAGGAGGAGCATATTTAGGAAGGAAAGATAATGAATTCAATTTAGGGCATGTTGATGGACCAGTGGGATGACCAAGTGGAGATATTCTATAAGTAGCTAGAGAATAAGGGATTGTAGATTTAGAACTGGTAGATACCTTACTGGCTAGCTAGTTTAACACCCCCATTTAATAGATGGAGAAACTGAGGCCCAGAGAAGTTTTTTTTCCCCAGGGTCACACAGATAAGCAGCAATTGGGACTAAATCTATTCTTCATACTGTTACATACTACCTCATCAGGGATGTGTGTGTGGGTGTGGGTGTTTTCTGGACTTAATAATGTATATCTGGAACTCTGGAGAAATCACGTTGATCTCCCCCTTCCCTGAATTCCCATAGATTGTATCAAGGCATACAGTTCCATACCTGTTTAAATATATAGTATTTAAGCATTTGACTTTATTTTCACAAGAAGGATGATTCTCACTTTTCTAAACAGAAAAACTCACTCAAAATGGAATTTCACTTATGTGCATTTTTTTAAAAAAAATCTCTATGCATGGTTTATCTCCCTAACCCTAACCCACACTCTTTCTGTAGTGAAAAATTTTGAATAAGGTTGGTATCTCATTTCTGTAATCCCAGAGTTTAGCACAGGATGTTGGGTGTGATGGGCACTCGAATTTGATAATGATTTTAAAGCATCTATTATGTGTAATTGTACTGGGATAGGTATTAAGGATACAAACGACATACAGTCTCTGCCCTCAAGGAGCTTACATTTTTTAGAAGATACAAGTAAACAGTTTAATAAATATAATTTGAAGAGGAAGGGAGTGTTAACAACTGAGGGAGGTCAAAAAAAGGCTTTCCTTATTGGGGTGGGGTGCCACCTGAGTTGAGGACTGAAGGAAACTAAAAATTCTTAAGAGGGAGCTGTGAAGAGGGGACATATTTTAGGACAATCTATACATAAAAATAGGAGCAAGATATGTATGTTGGGTTTGGGGAAGAGCTACTGGATCAATCTGGCTGGCAAGCAGTATGAAATATCTAAAAAGATGAATTAGTGTCAAAATTGTGAAGAGCTTTGAAGGTCAAGCTGGAGAGTTTGCGTTTTATCCTAGAGGCAATAAGGAAATCACTGAAGATTCTATGAGCAGGAAAGTGACTTTTTTTTTTGGTAAGATTATCTTGGCAACTGTGCAGATAAAGGTAAGGGGAGACTAAAAGCTCCTCTAATTGGGAGGCTATTGCAGTTATCCAGGAGAAAGAAGGGTAGTGTCAGAGTGGGGAGAAGGGGATTAAGGTGCTGTGCACATTGAATTGACAAGAATTTTCATCTGACTATCGGGAGTAAGGCACAGGGAAGAGTTAAGACTGATCCTCTGACGCTGTCAACTTGGGTGACTAGAAGGATGGTGGTGTCAACATTAATAAGGAAGTTTGGGGGGAAATGTCTTGAGAGGGAGAAGGTACCGAGTTGTGTTTGGACATGTAAATAACTGTAGAATTTGAATACTAAGTCATTGAGTATTGCTGCTGCTACGAGTTTGAATTGAAAATATTAACTAGCAGCAGCCAGTCTAAAGTGTCATCTGGTAAGACAGCTATAGAAGAAAAAGCATGGAACTTAATTTTGGAACATTTAAATGTGAATTCTCACTCCAACTTCACTGTTGGGAAGACCTGGGTTCAGTTTCTGCCTCTGAAATTTCCTAGATATTTAAGCATAGGCAACTTACAAGCTCCTTTTATACCTGTAAAATGGGCAATACCTTTATTATCTTCCGTGAGGTTACTGTGTGAACTAAAAAATGCAAACTGTGCAAACTCACTTGTAATTAGCTGTGATAAATAAGCAAGTCATATAAACTCATGAGCCTTTTTCTTATGTAGAAAACTGTGATAATACCTTTGTGGTAGAGTTGTTAAGCTTTGTGAACTGTATACCATATCCAGAAGCTAGTGACCTAAGACCAGATCACTTCAATTTCAGATATTATCTAATTTGCCTTGTTACACACAAATACTGAAGACTGAAGTCTAGGTCCTTCTGAGCATTTTCTGAAATAAACTTGTTAGAAACAAATCTTGGGGAACTTAGAAACCAACTTGTACTTAAACCCCACTATTGCTTTATGACTGTTCTTTTAGTTAACAGAAGCATGAAAGTTACTGTTAGGTTAAAGTATTTAGATGACAATCCTAAAAACCTTATTTAAAAGTTAAACTTTTAGTTGAGTATTTGTAATTATCATTCTCTAATTGAGTGTCATCCATCCCTTCCCATCAAATGTCAATATGTGCTTAGAATTACTTTTGAAAAGATTGAAGAATTAGCACCAAAATAAATATTAAGCACTTTAAGATCCAAGTAATTTGTTGTCATTTTCAAAGGTGCCCTGGCAGAGAAAAAATAACTATGTACCACAGATCAAGAGTCGTGATCCATGTTTAACTGTTAACTAACCTTTCCTAAGTCCTGTTATCTCTCTGGTCCTTTTTTTCCTCCTTTGAGTTTCATAGATGCTCTTTAAAGCCCCTTTTCGTTTTAACATACTTAACAATTCTA